GGGAGGGTAGAAGAAATCACAGGAGGAGGGAGAAGAAATGGAGGAGGAGAGAAGGAATCACTAGGGGGAAGGGGAGGAGAAAACACCAGGGGTGGGAGGGAATAAAAAAAAGGATATCTTAATAATATTGATGCTAGAAGCGGGTATATAAATAAAAAAAGGATATCTTAATCCAGCACCACACAAGTCTAAACCATAGACAGTGTCAAACAACGTTACATGTACCATGATACAAGTACTTCCAGTTCATTCCTTAGCCATTTCACTCTTAATCCATTTGCGCTTGGCTTCAGGATCTTTCAATTTACAAAACATCTCTCTCTTCTTTTTACTTGAAAACAACCCTTTGGCAAACCACCACATCTTGTCCCTTGCCCTCTTCTCCTCATCAAATGGCATCTTGTCCGCATCATCTGTCATCTCTTCCTCATCATCAAAATCAAAAATTACTTGTCCAAGTTCGGCCATCACAGGAAATGATGTTTCAGGAACCAAACTTGGGAGTACTGCAACAAATCCTCCATTATTCTCATCTTTCTTACCTTGTCTTTTCCTTTTCTTCATCCCAGATGGACTTTACGTACATTGAGTAGCAAGTACAGCAGATGAGAAAATTCAACAATAGGGTCAGTTTAGTAACTTGCTATATCATTCATCCATTTATCACAAAGATAGAAATAAAAACATATAGAAAGATCACATCTTGACTTCAACAACAGTGAAAAACCGACATGGGCACCAAAATATGACTCCATTCACAAATACACAAATTCAAGCAGAAGTAGGGTAACCGAGAGAAGAATTACTTGTAGACATTTTCAAGTCTCTTTTTCAAGTGTTTGATAGAAGCACCGGAAACCTCATCTACCCTTTCCCCTTTTAGATAGCAATGGAGCATTGGCTGCAGCAAAATGCACACATCAGCAGAGTAACATTCCATTTTAAGAAAAATTCAGGGCAGCTTGAACAAAACGCTTAGCCCCCATTTTCCCAGATAAGCATAGCCTGTTTATACTTTTCTGAATTATTAATTAGGATATGATAAGAACTAGAAGCCAAATTTTGAAAGAAAAGGTCAAAACACATGAGAAATTACATCACTTAACAAAGTGCATACATTTACATTCAAACAAAATAGAAGGATCGAATCATTTACCGTCTTGTATATTCCCAACTTGTCCAATCTGGATCCAGCGATTTTCTATAGATAGAATAAACGTCAGATCTACTAGTTTAGAGGCATAACAAGAAATAATATGATGATTCTTCTATACGCAGCTGCATGGCGCATCATAATTAGAGTACGGAAAAAAAT